TACAAAAATGAAAAATCATTGAATAATGGAAAGCTTAGCTATCATTATTTTAATGATCAGGTTAAGTTTTGTGAGAGTTGATATGATTGAAGCTTTTTTCTTTATCAATTACTTAAATCAATCAATTCACCGGATCATCCTATTCAGTCCAACAATTCACAATCAGTCGATTTATTGGATCATCCGATTTACTGGATCATCCTATTCAGTCTAACAATTTGCAATCAATCGACTTACTGGATCATCCTATTCAGTCTAACAATTTGCAATCAGTTGATTTACTGGATCATCCGATTTATTGGATCATCCTATTCAGTCTAACAATTCGCAATCAATCGATTTGTTGGATCATCCTATTCAGTCTAACAATTTGCAATCAGTCGATTTACTGGGCCATCTTATCTAGCCCAGTAATTTGCCCATAATATTGTTTAATTCTTTTCATGATCTTTTATTGGATACATGGATCTGATAAATGGATTTAACAGTTCACACGTAAAATGAAAGTTAAATCGTTCAATTTTATCATTTGTTAATCAAAAATAATGTGAAAGTTTTGTTTTCTCTTTTTTTTTCAAATATATATTTTTTTTTGTAAATTTGCATAAATTTCTGAAATTTTTTTATTATTTCAATTACACAATTCATTGGATTATTATCATAATTTCTTTAACTGTGAGATGATAAATGTTTTAAATTGATAAGAACGTCAGAAAATGACTGATAGCAGAAAATATATAAAAATTAATGAAATTACCTTTTAAAAAAGTGAAAAAATTACTTCTTTTCTAAAAAAAAAGAATTACCTCTTTTGATGAAATTACCGATTTTTCTTTTTTTTTTTTACAAAATATCAGTGTTATATAACCTGTCTAAACTTTTCAAATATTTTTAATTTCAAACTTTTGTAGATAATAAATGGGAAAGAAAATTTAGTTCTCAAACATTAAGTAATAAAAAAAAGAAAAAAATGTGACAAAAGTTTTCGTTGCAAAGTAAAACAAAATGAAATATTTCTAAAAAAAAAAATTAGTGAAAAAAGAAAAATGATGGAATTTTTTGTTGCTTAAAACATTATTAACTAAAAACAACAATTCCACTTTGCTTGCTACTTTTTATTTTGACAATTCCGCCATACGTGCTATTTTTTACTTTTGACAATTCCGCTTCACTTGCTACTTTTTATTCTGACAGCCCCAACTTACTTGCTACTTCTTATCTTAACAATTCCGTCTCACTTGCTACTTTTTATCATGATAATTCCGCCTTGCTACTTTCTATTCTTTAAGTTTTGAGGAATGAAAAATTAAGCAGTTAAATTTATATTTAACTTTTTTTTTATTCTTTCAAAATAATTGAAACTTACTTTTTCATTCATTCCCTGTTAACTGTTGAAATTTGAACAGATCTTTAAGCAAGCACTTATTTTATCTTCTGCTATATGTTGTAGTTTGAATTAAATCATTCAATTACACTAACTCCTTATCACTAGTTAGGTAGTATTTTGAGAAATCAATACCAAAAGTTAATTAATTAATTAAATTGAAAGTCATATTGCTATCCAATATTTTCATACCTTTACCAATGTTTCCTTTCTCGTTTCACTTTCGATAGGTTAAAAATTGAATCAAATTAGGCAGAAATACCTGTCGCAGTGAAAGAAGAACTTCTATACTTACTTCAAAATAACTTTACACCTTAATTCCATTTATTAGCGTTTCATAGATCATTTATTTATTACTCTACTTAGACTGTTTTTTGTTTTTCAAATATTGTTTACATCTGAAAATTTCATCCCAAGCATTAAAGTAAAGCTAATTAGTGAAAAGAAGAAAAAAAACAAGCAAAACAAAAACAAAGCGAAATAAGAAAAACAATGAACAAACAAAAAACAAATAAACAAAGCTAAATAATGAAAACAACAAACAAGCAAAGCTAAATAACCAAACCAATAAACAAATAAATAAGCAAAGCCAAATAACAAAAACAATAATGAAACAAAGTTGAATACCAAAAAAAAAAAGTAAGCATAAAACTAAATAGTTAAAACAATGAATAAACAAACAAAGTTAGATAATGAAAATGATAAAAAAACAATAAACATGGACAAATAGTGGAAAAAATAAAGGGGTAAAGTTAATTAGTAAAAACAATAAAAGAACAAAGCTAAGTTGCTAACGAAAAGAAACAAACAAAATAAGAATAAAGCTAAATAAAGAAAACAATAAACAAACAAGCAAAGCTAAATAACGAAAAACGATAAACAAGCAAACAAAATAATATAGCAAAAATAATAAACAAACAAACAAACAAAACAATATAGTGGAAACAATAAATAAACAAACAAAACAATATAGTAAAAATAATAAACAAACAAACAAAACAGCATAGTAAAAACAATAAACAAACAAACAAAACAATGCAGTAAAAATAATAAATAAACAAACAAAACAATATAGTAAAAATAATAAACAAACAAACAAAACAATATAGTGG